TACAGCAGCGATTGTTTCCTCCGTTCGAACTGAAGGGTTTCGATGGTAAGGTCTTCTGTTGACTGTCCCATGCTCGGCAAAATTGTTTACAAGTCTCATTATTGTTCATCTGCTCGGGGGATTGCCGCCAAACGTGCGCCTATACTCTCTTTGAACCGAAACTACGGACTCCAGCGGCGGACAATCCAAATACTTGTTTCAGTGTCCCAGTTATCCATTTTTTTAAATGTAAAAGCCAATCTGCAAAATAAAAAAAAAATTTAACCAGATTCATTAAATAGAAAAAAGTTATTTAATTTTTTTTGTGGTAGCGGCTCTCATCAGCCACCCTGTACATCAGCATGTAGCAGCAGCTGAGGATGTGGGATATACAAATAGCAGATAATTAAAAGCGCTCTTATTTTGAGAAGATTTTTTCATATTACTTAGCTTTTTGACAGCTTATTTACCAAAAATATCATTGAACACATAATGAAAGATATTTAGGCTGGAAATGGCAAATATTTTATTGCGATTACTGTCCGCCTATTTTCATTTCACTGAAGCGCAGGCTGGATACGAGTTAAGCAAAATATATTTTTGGATAAATATACAAGATATACCCGTGAGCACCAATTAATTTGTGTAACCTTCAAAACATGGAAAAGTCACACCTTGAGTTATGAACGCAGAATTTTAGTAATATGTAGATTTCAACTTCTATAGCTAACATCCATTTTAATTCCCATGTTATTTTTATACACCAATAATGAAATATTAAATTATAACTTCGGTTTTTCAGCTATTCCTCTGTTTCCCCCGGTGTGTACTGCGTCGAATACTGCTATAGTTGGAGTGTAGTACAGCATAGCCGCTGTCTGTTAATTCGTTGAACTATGTCAGTGTCGTCGTACGAGTATATCTCGTACAGCTCATCATTCGATCGACTGGGGTATTCGCCGTGCCAACGCACAAGGGACTATAAATCTTCCGCAGAACCTTTTTCTCGAAAACTCCTAATGCCTCTGCACATATAGCTGGACCTTGGTGATGAGTTACTTGTAGACTTTGGGCTATGTTTGTACGAAGTGAGCCAGCGTAAGCCAAGTCAGAACTGCCGGTGAAAAAGAGTTTGCTATACGTTTGATAGGAACGACCATTTGCCACGGGCTGCTCCGTACGGTCAACAACTGAACCGTCTAAGAAAAGCTATAGCCTATATGCGGTCAGCATTAGCTAATATAAGATGAATTGTGTTAAAACAGGACAACGCCTGACACACACATCCGTAATATCAAGCGAGAAGCGTTTACAGCTTTCAATTATCCACCATATGGTTGAGTAAGTTTGGCTAGGTCACGTACATCAAAGTGCATAAGGCAGCTTTACTCTATTTCAATGTTTATATATCACCCAGAATGTGAGAGATGCCTACATAATTACACAAGTTACGACTTATATAATTTATTAATTATTTCACTTGAAAGGATCGACTCCATATTCTAAATGTAGCAGGTTAATTGAAAAGTCCCCCCGAATTCTTTTTTTTTTTTTTTTTTTGTTTTGAAAAACTTTTCGATAATATTCTTGTATTGTAGTACGATTTGTCTGTTAATTCAAAATTGGCCTAAGTTTCGGCGATCCACTCATATGACGAAAATTACAGAAGTTTGCAGTAGCAAGGGCAACTGGGGAAAAAAGTTTTTGAAAAAGTGGGCATGTCTCCGCCCATAATATCTCCTATACCACATGAGCTACAGTAAGCAAATTTGCTGAGTACAAATCTTATAAGTCTTTTACCGACAATGTGAAAATGGATAAGATAGGAGAAAAACCCCGCTCACTCCCCATATAACGGTACTGTTACTACTAACAGCACGATAAATCAATAACTAAATACGCCATTAAATGTTAATACCGAAAGCATATAAGAGCAGGGTTAAATTTCATATCTCAGAACCCTACCAAGCGATTTCGAAAAAGTTTGTATCTGGAATTTTTCTTACTTTCTTATGTCACATTGTAAAAAGTGACGAAATCGAATATCAACGCTTTCCTTTTAGCACAATTTTAAATTCCACTTGATTCGTTCAGTTTCCAGTACAGAAATAAAGAAGCAATTAATATAACGGAATAAAACTTTGCACGAATAATATATTTGGTATGTGCCACGTTATGACCAAAAGTCGTTTAAATCGAATAAAAACTGTTCACGCTTTTAGGTACAGTAAATGTGGACCCGCGAATCTATGGTTGACTTTTGACCTCATATTGTCGGGATATGCAATTGAAATGCAGACAGAATCATTTGCTGACAGGAGTTATTCTGTGTATCAAAAATGGATTGAATCGGGTCAATACTTCTCTGAGCCTCCATATATGTATATAATTTTCGAACCTCGGACTTTGTACCACATGTATCGGCCAATATGTGAGGTATCCCAATGAAAATAAAAAACACATTTTGCTCTGAACAGTGTATCTTTGTATTGGAAATA